TGTGGGATCTTCCTGGACCAGGGCTTGAACCTGTGTCTCCTGCACTGGCAGGTGGATTCTTAACCACTGTGCCACCAGGGAAGCCCTCTCCTAGCATCTTCATTTGGGCTTCTTGGTGAATGTGAGAATAGAGATGGAAAGCTTCTCTTGAAGACTCTTATCCTTTTGCATTCTGTGCCACTTAACGATAACATTGCCTAACACCCCTAATTTGCTTTTAATCATTGGTACTTTGGTGAGAGAGAATCTACACTAAGCAGAAGGCTGTTCGAAAAATTTGAGTTGTATGTGATAGTCATTTACTAAGGGACATCACATATCACTTTTCTTCCTTTTTTCTTCTTTTATAAAATCACTTGGCATGTTCTTTCAGCTTCCAGAATCGTAGCCAGCCACCCCTTCTCTGGGTGGTTTACATCAGCCTCTCCAGGCAGTACTTTGAAGTCTGTGAAAGACACTGGTAATTTAGGCTGACATACTTGGCAGGCCTCTTTAAAAAGCAGAATTGTTTGATGGCATGACACAAGAGGTCTGTTAACTGAGTTATAAAGAACTGAGGCATTTCCAACAAACCCTAGTTTTGACATGAAATTTAAATAGTTCTTATTTTGAGGCATGTAGTCAGTGAACTTCCTGTGATGTAATATGGTCTCTCAGTGCAAAATACTAGGAAGTGGGAATTTTATTATGCCTAGCAGTTTCTCCAAGGAGAAATTCTGGGTGGAACTGAGTATATGGTTATTTTCTCTTTTAATTCAATCCAGCTAATTCAGAGGGAATGTCTTAGCAAGATGTGAGGAAGCAAGTCTAGAGGGAATGGTAGCACTTGGGAGAGATGTGAAAAACCAGCCAATCAGTGGTGGGAGCTGGGAGGGGCACCTAAATAATGTATTTAATCTAATTCTTATGGTGGGTTTAGTATAAAGCCCTAAAAGTCAGTGGCCTTTCCTTAAAATACTGCAAAATTGAGTTTAAAAATATATAGCTCATTATTGTATATGCGTGTGCTGTAAACATCCTGAAACCTTTCTTGAATGGAGTATAATTTTTTTAAGTCTTGTATTTTTTATTGTAACTTCATTATTCTGATCATCAAAATCACTTAATTTTTTTTTTTTAATTCTAAGTCTTTAAACCAGATGTTGCTCCTCTTATCAGAAAGGCAGGTTTTACATAATTTGGAGATCAGGACAGAAGTATTCCAAGGCAAAGGTTACCAAAATAGAGCTTCCAGTTTGTGTTGCTAAGCTCTCTGAATGATGGCATTACTGTTGGACTCTTCTCTCACAGCAAAAATGGGACTACAAAGTGGTTTCAATACGTGTCTGTGTGTTAAAGTGGAAGCATGTGACACCAACAAATGGGTACCACATGGCAGAGGTACCCAGGAGCAAGTCCGTAATATGAAAGGGATAAATTAGTTTTGTTTCATTTCATTTTTTTCCCTTCAAGGGAAGGGGGCTGGGGAGAGGGGTTGAGCAGGGAGGGAGGGGGAGAGGGGGGAGAGGAGGAGAGTGTGTGTGTGTGTGTGTGTGTGTGTGTGTGTGTTCGTGTTCCTACAGAGCAATCAGGCCCCTCATTTTAGTTAATGCATGTGGTTGATTTAGTGATGTTTGATGCCTGCCTGGTTTTAATATTAATCTTTATTCCGACACCTCCGATCATAGCTTTTAGGTACCAGATTACTTTACTCTTGCACGTGGAAATGATGGAGAGTGACAGTGGCACGGTACTCACTTTCTGACACCAGCTGGCTCTTGTGCTGACTTAGAATGTGGCCACTGTCTTGTCCTGGCCTTGTTTAATGATTTTTTTGTGTATGCTTAGCTTCCTTTCCAGGCTTTATTCATTTATTCAGAAAATAATTGTTGAGGGTTTAGTCTGTGCAGGCTGTATGCTGGCTTTGACCTCTAGTGGAGTGCTTTGAACATAGTGGGTGCTAAGAAATGTTACATGGCAAGAACAGTTATTTCTCTATGTATGTTCAGTCCAAAGTTTAACTCAGAATGTACTTCCCATGAGTTACAGTACTGTTGATGGCTAGAAACTTTAGTTAACTGACTTCTAAAAATAATTTATTTCAGTTGCTTGACTACAATTCTTAAATATGAAAACTTTTGAAAATGAAAACATCTGTGTATCATATCAAAAACATTTCAAGAATGCACATCTTTGACTATACTAAGAATATATTCATACATAAGCTTGCCCTTATATTGTTTATTTTCATCTAAATCCTTTAGAGATTTAGAGATCTCATCTAAATCCTTTAGAGAGTTAGAGATTTCTACTGTATAGTAGAGAGGGCATGGATTTTAGAGTTAGACAGTCCTGGTCAAATCCTGGTTTTGTAACTTACTAGCTGTGTAATTAATCACAGTTCTCTCCAGGCAGTTAGCTTGACTTTGGGCAAAACCTTTCTGAACTTTTGTTTCCCCGTCTTATTTTCCCTATCCACTTTATAGATACAATAAAACCTAGCTTACATGAGTATCTTGAGAATTAAGATGACAGATAGGTTGATAGAAAGATACTAAGTTCTGGATACTAAGTTTCCCTTTCCTTTTACCCCATTTATTGGCTAACTTTTATATTACTAGCAGTAAAGTACAGTGTTTTAAAATACTCATTTGTTTATTTGGAAGGCAAAAGGCATTCTATATTTTGTGCAAATTATAGTATGGGAATAAGTCTATGGAAGAACTTTTGCTCAATACATGCTAATATGAAGCAGCTTTTTATTTTCAGTTTGTTCTCCCAGATAGACATTAGTTTGTTCTTTCTCTTTTCCTGATTTGAAAGGCAAAACGAAGCCAACATTCATTCAATGTTTGTGTAGAGCAGTGGTCTTCTCCAGAATTTATTAAAGGGCCACAAGTGTATCTACCTGTTAAAAAGTTAAATGATCTCCACTGAATTTGAGTCTGTCTTTATATGCTATGCATATCTTTCTTTAAAAATGAGTTTTGCTAAAAATAGAACTACTGTAAGACCCAGCAGTCCCACTACTGGGCATATACCCTGAGAGTCACGTACCACAATGTTCATTGCAGCACTGTTTACAATAGCCAGGACATGGAAGCAACCTAAGTGTCCATCGACAGATGAATGGTTAAAGAAGATGTGGTACATATATACAATGGAATATTACTCAGCCATAAAAAGGAACGAAATTGAGTTATTTGTAGTGAGGTGGATGGACTTAGAGTCTGTCATACAGAGTGAAGTAAGTCAGAAAGAAAAAAACAAATACTGTATGCTGACACATATGTATGGAATCTCAAAAAAAAAAAAATGGTTCTGACTAACCTACGGGCAGGACAGGAATAAAGATGCAGATGTAGAGAGTGGACTTGAGCACCCAGGGAGGGGGAAGGGTAAGCTGGGACGAAGTGAGAGAGTGGCATGGACACATATGCACTCCCAAATGTAAAATAGATAGCTAGTGGGAAGCAGCCGCATAGCACAGGGAGATCAGCTCGGTGCTTTGTGACCACCTAGAGGGGTGGGATAGGGAGGGTGGTGGGAGGGAGACACAAGAGGGAGGGGATATGGGGATATATGTATATGTATAGCTGATTCACTTTGTTATACAGCAGGAACTAACAACATTGTAAAGCAATTATACTCCAATAAGGATGTTTAAAAAAAAATGAGTTTTAAATTTTTGTAACCATCACTGCGGATACAGAACAGTTCTGTTACCCCCAAAACCCACATGTCCCACGTTGTCACATTTTTTCCCCCACATCTAACCCCAGACGACCGCTATCTTGTTCTCTGTTGGTATACTTTTGCTTTTTCCAGAATGTCATATAAATGGACTTATATTGTCCACTTATATTGCCTTTTAAGACTGGCTTCTTTCATCCAGCTTCATGTCCTTGAGAGTCCTCTGAGTTATCAAGTCTCCCTTATTGCTGGGTAGTATTCCATTGTATGGGTGAACCAGTTTATCTAGTCACCTATTAGAGTTCACTTGGATTATTGCAATTATTTTAAAAAAATATTACATTGTGTAAGTTTGTCCTGATTTTCAAAGTAGAAAAAATATACTAATCAAGGAAAAATGGGAAAAAAAATATTCCTGCCCAAACAGAACCTCTATTAACATTCAGGTATATTTCTTTACATTCTTTTTCCTGTGCATGGAGCTTTTTGTCTTGTGGTTATATTTACATAGCTGTGATTCTTCATAAATTGCTTTTTTTTTCCTGTTTTAATTGTGATGTGTATATATGACATAAACAGTTTAAAAAGATTATAAAGCAAACACTAGTGTAACCATCCAAGTTAAGACCCTTCCCCATCAAAACTACCTTCCCTTTACGTAGAGCAATCACTATCCTAACTTTTGTGACAGTCATTCGCTTCTTTGCTTCATAGTTGTCCAACCTGTGTATATTCTTTAGATGATATAGTTTAGTTTTGACTCGTTTTGAACTTTGTGGCCTCCTTTTTTGTTATATTTACTATCGTAAGCTAGCTCTATTATGATGAATCTTCATAAAGATGCCTTTTAGCTGCCTAATATTCGGCTGAGTGAGTGTGCTGTACTTTACGTAGCCATTTCCCAATTTGGGTTGTTTCTAATTTTCACTGTTGGAAATAACGCTTTGTGTAGAAGTAATACCTTTCTACATGAATCCATTCTTGTATTTAGAATTATTTCTTTTGGATAGTATTGTAAATAAAAGAGTATGAAATTTTAAGGTTCTGAAAAACGTTGCTAAATTCTTTACCAATTCGTACCACAATGAAGCCTTACTGTTCCTGGGCCAGCATTGAGGGTTTTCCACATCTCCCCCAAGTAAAAACACCTCAGGGAATTTAATGGTTGAAAAACCATCTTATCTTGTCTTTCTGAGTTTGATTGGTTCTATGTTTCCTAATTGGTTTCCTTTTTTGTTGATTTTGCTTGAGTTTATGTTTTGGGGTAAATCAGCTTCTTAAGTGATGGTCAGTGTAGCCTTGTGACCAATTCTTTTATTTTTTTTCAGATGTAGGTGCAAGAAACTACAGGCATCTCTGTGCTGTTTATTACAACAAGAATCCTGGGTTTGAGATAATCCATGGGCTTCTGGACAGAATCATGCAGCTACTTGATGTGCCTCCTGGCGAAAAGAAGGGAGGATATGTGATCAAAGCATCAGAAGGTGAGACAGATCAGCTGAGTCAAGAGTCAATGATCCCATAATGAAGAGGCGAAGCCCTATTTGTGATAAAGTGTTTTTGGTTTTGATTTAGGGGGGAGGTGGGAGATAGAGCTTCATATCAATTAATTGTCAGTATTTTCTAGAAATATCCTTTTTCCCTCCAGTATTTTGAGAAGATGCTTTTCAGAGCTCTTGTAGTGCCACACATTATACTTTTGTTCCAGCTGAGTGCTGGTAACCCCTAGTTACTGGCACCATCAAGTCATGGTCAACCCACAATCCAAACTGGAAGCTGAGAGAACCAGAACTCATGACTTGTGCTCAGAGCCTCCTGCCTGAAGCCTTTAAGGCAAAAGAGGAAAAAAGAGAGACATTGGAAGTTAGGCTAACTAAATTGTATATATACTCCTAAAATGCTAGTTTCTTGTTGTCTGAGGAATCCTGAAATTTTTGCTTTTCATATCCCTATAGCTTGAATCAGTATTAGATAAGAGAGCCACAGACAACTTGAAAGAAACATTTTACCACTTTATTTCCACTGTTTACCTGACAATTTTATAACTTTATCTGGCATCTTAAATTTCTATTGGAACGTTCACTTTTTTCAAAGTGTTATTTAGCAGTACTTATACTGGTGTGAGGTTTGGGGGGACATATTTTTGTTTTCCCCTAGTTGTATTTTTCTTAGTCCTCAGAGATGGTTTTTTATTATTGTTTCAATTTTTTTTTTTAATTTGGAAAGTTCTTTGAAAATGCAGTAACCCTAAATATATGGCCTTTTTAGGTTGAAGATTTGTGGAGTTATCTTTTTTTTATAAAATTGAAAGATTAAAATATTGCAGGGAGTTATCATTTTCTACCACATCTCTCATTAGTAATCATTCAGTGAAGATACGTGTGATGCTTATAGAATTTTAGAGTGTTGGGACTGGGTCTTAGAGTTCATCAAGTCCACTTCCCTGATTTGACAAGTGAAGAAGCCAAGGATAGGCAAGCCAAGTGAGTTGGGCTGGGTCACACATGGGGACCCCAGGGCGCCTGCCTCCCACTGTTCTTTCCACAAGACCAAGTTGCCTGTCTTTATAGTGGCTTTACATTACTCATTCACCAGTTGACTATTCTAGAATTTCTGCTTTAAGATCTGGTCATCCAAGTTAATGGCAGCCTGAAAGCTGATGTGACACATTTTTTTTAACCTTCTATACAGAGTCTTTTCTCAGAAATTTTACTTCATATAGAGATTAGCTGAATAAAAATCTGTTTCCTGAAACAGATTATGTCATATATATGAGATGTAATTTTTTTTCTTACTTGAAAGGTTGCAGAGAGCTGAAATGGTAAATTGGAGCATAATTTGTTGTGGATATGATACTTTTATATGTAACTTTTATATTAATGATGTTTCTAGAAGCCATAAACCAGTGTCTTAATATAATGACTCTCCTGCCTCAGTAAGTTCCTTAGACATATTTCTCAGAAGCCTCTAAGTTCCCCTGTCATGAGACAGGCTTCAAGAAGACAGAATAAGTAGGACACAGATCCTGCTGTCAAGGAACCTACAGGGGGAATGACCACTGCATACCAGCTTTCACAATAAGCTGCTACGGCGAGTGCCTTGAAGTTTCCAAAGAGGGAGATGGTGTGGTTTCTTAAGAGCATATGGGAAAGCGTTAGTGAGTTTCTGGAAAGTGACATAGGCCTTCGAAGGAATAGGTGGGAGACAGGGGAAGCAAGGCAGACCACCAGAGCAAAGGCAAAAAATGATGGGAAACATAGCCTACTGCAGTTTGGTTTGACTACAGGGTGAGGAAGAAGCTTGGGACTACATTTAGAGTCCTGAGTGCTAGAATAAGGAGTTGTAGCTAATTAGCTGGAAAATATTGAAGCTGCTGCTGCTTTTTTTTTCCCTTAAGTAAGTGATGTGATTAGATCTGTACTTTGAAGGAATTAATCTGGCAGCATTATGTAGGTTGGGCGGCATGGAGAGTAGAGGGGAAGAGAATGGTTGAAAGGTGTTATAGTGAGAATAAGGGCTTGACTTTGAATGTTGGCCAAGGCTATACCGAGGAGAAGACTGATTTAAGAAACTTTATGAAGGTAGAAGCTACAGCATTCAGCATTTGGAAGAGTTCCACTTGGAACCTTTTGTGCCACTCGGAACCTTTTATGATACAGCTCATATGTGTTGATCTTTTTTTTAAGTTCTGTTTTCATCATTCTAAACCTATGATATTATAATTTTAATCCTTTTATATTTTAGCACCAAAACAATATAATACTTAGTACTTAATTTCCCTAATATGTAAATGTCTTATCATTTTGGCTTGGAGTGTGTGTGTGGGTGTGTGTGTCTGTGTGTGTGTGGGTGTGTGTGTCTGTGTGTGGGTGTGTGTGTGTTTTCAAATTAGAAGATACATTCATAAACTGTAACCACTTACGATGTGGTTGTAGGTCTTCATGTTCAGTTTTTTAGGCCAAATTGTTACTGGTGTTTGATTTTGTTTGAGGACAGGGGCCATCTTGTGTTTACTTTTGAATTTACTTTGGCTCTCATAATAGAATATTGTAATGTTATATTTTAATTACCTGTTTTGATTACATAATGACAAATATTACCTTTTTTTAAATGGTTAAAGAAACCAAGACCTAAAGAAGTGGCTTGTCAAAATAAGTCAGCAGTAAAGTTGGTATAAGTTCTTCATCTAAAATTTAATAGATATATAATATGTGTGTATATATATATATATATATATCTCCTAAGTAAATCCCTACACAGGAATTTGGTTGCTGGGGCGTGTTTAGCTACATCGTTTCCTCAGATTTATTGTTATTTTGCATGTTTTATTTGTTATTTTGCATAAAGCTTTTTCTGCTTCAAGAAAAGGTCTTCAGAGTATCAAAAAAGTCAAGAAGAAACAGATTAAGAGCTACCATTTCCTGCCATTCTTAATTACTGAGTTGTCTTCTATTACTCTGGCATATGGTTTACCTTTTAATAGTTAAAAGTCCGTGGTGGCTTTGCCATTATAATTGAGCTAAGTCTGTTCACCAGAGAGTCTTGCTAATGTCAGTTCATTGGCAGATATACCTAATCTCTCTCTGTCCTTTCTAATGAACACCACTGACTTCCTTTTGTGCCGCTTTGTTTGGTGGTAGAGAGTGGAACAGAACTTGATTCCCTTTTGAGAAACTTGGCCCTGTCCACTGTGAGAGAAACCTGGAAACTCATCTCATTGATCATCACATTGATCTCAGGGAGTTCTGTTGACATTGGCATGTAACCTGGCTTCTCATGCAGACAGCAGCCCTCTGCAGCCTGTGGATCTCTGAGAAGCACTCCCAAGTCCTGTGACTGCAGCCACAATTAGAAGCCATGGTCACTGAGTCTCACACCCTTGCAATTAAGAACACAAGGTGAGCTAGAATGCCAAACAGCTAATAGAATAAGGGCAGTCGTTGAGTAGAAAAAAGAAAGAAGAACCTTTAACTTTTTAACAGACTGTAGAGCGTTTTGAGCACTTGGAACAACTCATCATGTTTTAGTGGCATTTGATCGGATCATTACAGCATATGTATGCGCTTTTTTTCAGACTTCTTTCCCTTTGTTTTTGTGGTTTGTTGCAAACTAAATTATGTATGTTAAAATGCATTTATCCTTTTCAAAACCACTTCTGGGCAAGGAAAATTTGCAACATTTTTGTGTTTAGAACAGTTATGTGGTTCCTGGGCAAATCAGTGGCGAAAATAATTTCTTAGGGAAGGTAGTAGGCTTTGTGTGCGATTGGCTGCACTGACTTGAGTGTGTATTTTTTCCCCTTGAATTTGTTACTATTTCAGTTTTGTTTATTCACAAATCTATGGAAAATGTCAGTTTAACCTGAGACAAGATTCCTGATGGAAAAACAGAAGTTTTAGTACTTTTAGTTTTGACAATTCTAATTTTCATGCTGCTCAGAATTCATTTTGTGAAATGAAAAATAACCTTGTAAGTAATAGGCACATTTAATCCTGCACCATATGTACCCACAGAGGTTACTTAGATACCTTCTGTTACAGCATCACCTAATGATCATTGACTTGACCTGTAGGTCATGACCTTTTTCCTCTTTCAGGACACCTGTGAAAGATTTCAGATGCTAAAAAGTATGGGTGAAATTGTGATGTCTCCCCAGCCTTCACACTGGTGTTTAGTGTAACATGAGCTTGGAAATATATGAGAAGAATATGTATTGAACAGCTTGCTGGAGTAAAGGAGCCATTTATGGTCTGATTTACACAAAAAGTCTAGGCTGGAAAAAAGGGGGATCTGTATAGTGTCTCCACATTTTTAGTTACCATCAGTAAAGACATGACTCTGTTAAGGCACCACATTGAAAAGAAAAAAAGTTTGGAAGTTAATAAGCTTCTGACCTTATTACTCTGTAAAAAATGTCCTTAATCCTCTGATTCTCTGGTTTTTTTCAGTGTTTGAGGCAAGCTTTCAAATACTACAATTTTTGTTACCTTCTTTGAAGGCTTTATTAAGAGCAATATTAAACACATGTGCAGTGATCACCACACGTCAAAACAGCGGGATGACATGGGGCCACAGTGCCCATTAAAGCCTCAGCAGCTATCATGATTCGCGTAGCCCTGTGTTGTTCTCGAGTGTGTTTTATTTCCTTGCCTCACTCTCTCTTATATGTATGAGGCAAAGTGCTCTCCACTCTTGCTCACCACCTCGTGCTTTTGATGTGCCTTGGTACCCACTTGACGTTTCAGTACTCAGTGTTGGAGTGTGTGTTCCACAGCACGTCCCACTTGAATGACTTAGCTCACTTTCCCATCTGATAGGTCTTGTAACACAGTATTTCTCAACTTCTTTTTTTTTTTTTTTTTTTTTTTTGTTGTTGTGGTACGTGGGCCTCTCACTGTTGTGGCCTCTTCCGTTGCGGAGCACAGGCCCTGGACGCGCAGGCTCAGCGGCCATGGCTCACGGGCCCAGCCGCTCCGCGGCATGT